TTCCTTTTCATTACAATTTATTATTTTTATTTTATTTTATTTTATTTTGATCATTAAACTGTTCTTAACTCATGAGTTTTCTTACTTTTGCCCTTCTGATTCTCTCCCCGACCCCACCAGGGCAGGGGAGGGTGAGCAAGCAGCTGTGTGGTGCTTGATTGCTGACTAGGGTTAAGCCACAACAGAGTTTAACTTACAACTTTATTGTCGTCTGGTATAGAGGGAGAGGAATCATAGTCTGTGAGTACCTTTTTCTCTCTGCTGACTTCCCAGTGACTCTTGATGACATCCACAGAGTAGATATCTAAAAGCAAGTGAAATAAATCCAACTGGTGCTATTTGGCTACACCTTCACAAGTCAGCACCAAAGATGGAACTAGAATTCATTTACTCCTCTTTTAGTTTCTGGGCAGTACTTCCTCCTTCCACTGTTTCTGGCTTGCATGACTGACTACCACCTCCACTATTCTTACTTCAATGAGTATGTTGGAGATGACTAATATTTTGCAGTGTCTTTGACAGCTTTCATAATTCTGTGTTAAGGATAAACATGCCTTGAAAATATTGATTACAATGTTGAGGAAAAGTGGGGAAAAGAGAACTTGTGTGCTTTCTATTTAAGTGCAAACACTTTCCGCTATTAAAATAGTTGGTTATTTTTGCATGGAACTGGGAAATGCTTTAGTTTTTCTTGGGGTGTTCTATTATTCAACTATTTGGAGAGTAGAAATAATGTCCCCCACAGACTTTTCACCTGGGGCAAAGAAGCCTCTAGTTCAGTTGGATATAAGAGTGGATATAAGGAAGAAATTTTTTACAGTGAGGGTGGTGAAGCACTGGAACAGGTTGCCCAGAGAGGTAGTGGAGGCCCCATCCCTGGCAACATTCAAGGTCAGGTTGGACGGGGCTCTGAGCAACCTGATCTGGTTAAAGCTGTCCCTGCTCACTGCAGGGGGGTTGGGCTAGATGATCTCAAAAGGTCCCTTCCAACCCAAAGCATTCTATGATTCTATGATTCAATTGCTTGTAAACTTTTTCAGTGTGTAAGCCTTTTTCTTCATTGTGTTTCATTAGCACTACGGAATTTGCCCATACCTGTGTAGGGACCCCCTATTATCTGTCACCCGAGATCTGTGAAAATCGACCGTATAACAATAAAACGTAAGTCTCCGTCTTTCTTTCATATGCTTGTGCATGAGGGCATGCAGCTACAAGAGAACTTACTTTAGTAATGTAATGGTTTAAATCAGTATTTCTGCAGGGCACCAGGAATTTCACATGTCACCCTTTGTGAAGTTTTGTGTTACTGTGTACAATAATTAAGTGCATCAATCATATACAACAACTATGTTATACTATACAACACTGTCAGTTGTATTTTGACTCACAGTGTCCAGAGCACAGCAATCATGAATCTGTTGTGATTCATCTAGAGGCTTAACATAATTATATTTTTTGTTTTTTATAAAATTACTTGCACTTTAAAGTTCAATCTCATTCTCTTTTAATACTCCTTATTAGTAGTGACGTGAAATGTAAAATAGGGTTTTTTTCCTTTGCTTTATCTGGTTCTCCATCAAATACTAAATTTCTCTCTGTGTTTCCAGCACGTAATAACCGATGCAAGAATGGATCTTTTCAATTCCAAGTTTATGCCTTTTTGATACACTCATTTGTGATTTATAAAAATACACTAAAATGAAAGCTGCTGGGTTGGCAGTTCTGGAACTTTGCAGTAGCCACCTGCAGGAAAGACAAATAGGTCTGAGAATTGTAAAGGCTCACTCAGGCTTAACACAAAATACCAAAATAACAAGTTGAGAAGCACTGAAAAGTCAGGAGCTGAGTGAGCTTGACACCCTTCTCTGTGTGTGGGATGTGATCAACACCAAATATCCTGGAGCTCAGACTGGCATCTCAGCTCTAAGGTGCTGTTCACACAAGTTTACTCCCTTACTGTCTCCTTAACAATCAAGTCAGCCAGAGATAGCTTTGCCCTTTGTCCTGCTACAAATATTAAGCAGACATTCTTTATGTTGTGCCTTTTCCAATGATAATTGTACTACCTACTTAGGTACCACAGAAACATTGGTACCACAACTAGAAAGAAATTTCAGGTTGTTCTTTTCAGTGCATCTTAAGAAAAATTAAAAGATGCACCAATTTAATCTGTGATGGAATAATGTTAATAAATTTGAGAGCTGAGAATTGGTACTGCCTGCATGTATGAAAATATCATAGTCTTTTCCCTGAAATTTTGTAATTACTTTTTATTCACAGAGATATTTGGTCTCTTGGCTGTGTGCTTTATGAGCTATGTGCACTAAAGCATCCTGTAAGTACCATAGAATCAGATCCATATCATATTATTTAAACAGGTAGTGGGCAGCCTGCAAAAGCTGTAGTAATAATAGTATTCATAGTCAGCTGCTAGAATTATTTTCAATTTACTTACTGATATTAAAGAATGACTGCCAGTGTTTAATTTTTTGTATTGTGTCTGGTTTGTGCATACTAAAATACAATATATTATGTTGTCTTTCTACAATTTATACACACCTCCTCCCCGCCCCAAGGTGCATTTACTCTTTAATAAGTACAAAACTTTTTCAAAAGGCAGGTGAACAATTTAAAGAATTAAAGCCAAACCTCAAGGTTAGGCTTTAGGCATATAATTTTACTCATTTCTATTTGAAAATACCAATCTATACTTACTAAAGAGTTTGAAACCCACATTTCCCTAGCAAACAGTTTGAGTCCCCAGAAGCATTTTCCTACAGGTTTCATTTTGTTTGGAAGCACATTCATGTCAGAAGATAACTGAGGTAGCATCTTCAGGAAACTGTGTTGTCCTCAGCCTGATCTGAGCCTCAGATAATCCTCAGCCTGTGAGTGTTATGTAGAGAAGGGAACACAGCAGAGACTAATCCTGACAACAGGAAAAGGATCTGATTCCTGGGCCCAGCAGCTGACCTTTTGCTGGGCTTGGATGTGGGAGAAGGCAGAGCAGCACTGATAGGGAGAGCAATTGTGCCAAGCTGAAAGCAAGGGGATACTGCTGAGCAAAACTCCAGATTTCACAAAGTGAGAAAACATTAATATTACTTCTTATGAATATTAGCTGTTTTATTCTGTATTGCTGCCCATTTTTAACTTGAAGGCAGGGGCTAGATGCTGATGTACACAAGAAATGCAGCTGAAGTTAAGGCAAATTTTGTTTACAACACCTTCAAAATAGCCAAGTAAATAAAATGGTAATTTTAGAAAGAAGTTGCTTTCAAAATTAGTTTTGCCTTTATAAGGCCCTAAAAACTATATTGATGCTGACCTGTTAAGAGATCTCCTGAACTGAGAGGGCTGAGTTATCTGAGTAGCATCAGTTGTTAAAAATCAGATTATACCTTGGTTCCTGAGGGGGTGCAGAACTCAGAGGCTGAGTTGTGTGGAGTGAGGTTTTGAAGATGAACACTGTGAAGACAGTATGTATGCAGGTCTCTGTTGAACAGCTTTTGGCAAAATAAATCATGTTTCATTCTGGAAAAATTGCTACTGTATGACAGCAGAGTATGAATAAAGCTCTTCCAGGTACAAAAGCTATTGGACCTGCTGAGTCATGCAACTGAAACAAGTAGAATGTAACCAGAAAATACAATCAGAAATTGGTTATACTAATTTCCTACAGCAAACTATGGATAGCAAGAAAAGATTTGTGAAGAGATTGTATAGCACAGGGCTTCTGTCAGCAAGTACCTTTTTTTTTCAAGTTGGGGTGTCTAGTCCATAATTTTCAACCAGCAGTACTTACTGTCCTCTTTTTACTGTTTTCATTGATTAAGTTTGAAGGCAATAGTTTGCACCAGCTGGTGCTGAAGATCTGTAGAGGACATTTTCATCCAGTGTCTCCCAACTATTCATATGACCTGAGGATATTGATTTCTCAGTTGTTTAAAATATCTCCAAGAGATCGACCATCTATCAACTCTATTCTAAGGAAGCCCTTCTTGCAGAAGCTCATTCTCAGGTATTTGCCCCCTGAGGTAAGTGCCTGTACTGCTGCTTGCTGAGAGAAAAATATGTATCAAAGTAGTATGAATAGCTCTATCAGATACCTTTTTTCTTATAGATAACACAGGAAGAGCTTAGTCACACTGTGATACATAGCACAAGGCCTTCAGCATCACAGCCTGCAGCCAAACTGATACAAGGTAATGATAATAATATTCTTTAACATTAGTTCTACACTAACATTTGTTAGTTATGATATACGTGATGGCTATAACTTTCTCCAGCAGTCTTTATTGCACATTTGGAGTTTTACACAAAGCTAAAAATGAAACATTCACCCCAGACAGTGCATTGCTGTCCTGTTCAGGAAAAGACAACTTTAAGGCCAGCTCATTAGCAACCTTCAGCTAGAAAAGCTGCCATAGGAAAGTGCTGAAACATTTATCTTAATTCTTTTAGGAATAGAATTTACAAAACTGAGAGTCTTTGGTCTAGGTGCAGTTTAGGTCTGTCACATGAAAAACCTCCTTTCTCGTTTTTTCCAAGCTAGGCACAAAAATGCAAAAATCTTGCAAAATGTGCTCCACGGTATTTTACAAAATAGTAAAAATATATTTTACAAAATATTATAAATCAGATTAAATTGTGAGAGACAATGAACTCTATTTGGATTCAGTGCTCATTGATAGATCAGATTGTGTATGCACATTCTTAGAAAACATGAATGAGACTAAATGGTTTCTCTATGAACTCCTGAACATCTGGCATGTTTCTGGCAACATAACCTTTTCCTCATTCTGTATTCTTCAGTATATCATAATTATTCCTCAAATTTATGTTTGGAAGTATTAGTTTAAACAGATTTGTGAAAATAAACGTATGTAGTTTCTTAACTACACTATGGACTTCCCTCCCCACCAAAAATGTTATTTTGGAAATGACTTCCAATGAGATTTATCTGCCTTCAGGTCTCTAATGCAATTTGGATAGAGGCACCTGAACATCTAAGTCACTTAGGCATTCTAAAAGATATCTATGGTCATATACTCATAATTTTAATATATTTTATCTCCCAGACATGATACTCTCACAATCATTACTCAGGAAAATTTGAAAATTCATTTAGAAACTACTTAATCCTAGAAAAGACACTACTTTTCATTATTGCAGCTAAGGTATTTGCAAAATACTAACTGGCCAAACTGGAATGGTATGTACTTTTATTTTTTCCTACGTGGGGAACTGATAAAGTAAATTTTTCACTTTTCAGCCCTTCTTTCCAAATCTCACAAGTACTACAAGATTGTCTAGCAATTTGTAGAATACTGAGGGCTAAGTCTAGAATGGGAATGCCTAAGCAGGTAGATGCCTAGCTTCCAATGAAATATGAGCCTAAGAATCAGACCTCCTATTTTCTGTTCTTGGTACTAGCATCAAATCAGAATTCTAGTTTATAGAGGTCTCTCTTTTATTCATTGTGCTTCTTTGCAAAACTAATCAATAAGATCCACTTTACATGAGTGTGACAAATCATGATGTTTTCAAAAGCATGTCATTGTAAGAGTGAAAGGCAGAATGCCTAGGAGGTGTTAAGTATGGTGATGACAATGATGGTGATGATGATGAAAGGATGTAAGGAATGTTTGTTAGCCTGACCTGTCAGTGTTAGGTGTATGCACCTTACGATGGTCTGCAACTACATGATTATTAATCATGTAGAGTGCACAGAAGGTAACCTTTTAATCTTTCATACTTAAAAAGCACATAAACTTCAAAAAAGGAGAGTCCAGGACCAGTTTTCTCCAGAATCTGGAATGGTGGTACCTGTCAAGAAACAGGAATTATTTCCAAGAAATGATTGGAAACCACCTTCAAGAAGGCAACAGCCTATTTTTCAGGTACTGTGCATCCACATTCCTGTAATATTTAATCATCTTCAGAAGGCAAATTCCTGCTCTTAGAAAAGACCCTTTAAAAGGCCTTATAAGATGTATTAAATTCAGCTTAATGCCTACACTAAGTCAGAAGAGACAGTGAAGCACTCGTGAAGCCTCAGAAGAGGTTGTAGAAAGCCTAAGCGGGAAACACCAAATTTAGGCTGCTTCAGTATGGTCCTTTGTAACACAAGGAGTCAGGCATGCTTTGCATTTAAATTTGCACAAAGGCAAATAAACTCTGTGTTTGCATTTTTGCTATAGAAGCAAATACACTGATCTTCTTACTTCAGACCTTCTGAGAGCCCATTCACGGGCAAAACCACTGGCACCCACTGCACTTGTCTACTATTACAACAAACTAAACCCTACAGCAGAAAGCCCCAGTTCTTCACAAACACTTGTGTTCCGTACTCATTTTCCACCTCCTTCTTTCCTCAGGCTGGGTATCAGCTGTATGCTGTCTCCAGCCTTTTCCCTGGCATTACTTTGTACCTTTATGTTTATCTCCAAAAGCATAGTACTGCCTTGGGCGCTGGTGAGCAAAGCACATTCAGGACCTGGGAGCTCCCAGCACTAATTGCACAGTGCAGTTATGGTGGATTAACTGATGGTGGGGGATTGTGGAGTTCCAAGAACAGCAGCCCTCAAGCAATCACTTACACTACCTATGGATAATACTGGCCTTGTGCAGAATATAGGACTTAGTTTTCCTCATAGTCACATTTGTGCATATCCAATGCAAACCCAGAGATGGATTAAGTTAGGAAGGTTAAGTTTCCTTTCACTGTGCACTGCTGTAATCAAAGGCAGAATTTTGTCCAGTGTTTTGATCTATGATACATACTCTAATATTAACATTGGGAAAGTTCCCACATTCTTTCAGCATCCAAATGAAGCAACCAGTTTGCAGGGGTTGTAGGGATACTTGTATAGTGTCATAGTTTGAACGTGTTGCTCCAGGATTTGCAGAATCACAGAACGGTTGAGGTTGGAAGGGGCATCTGGAGGTCACCTTGTCCAGGACCCTGCTTAAGGAGGGCTACCTAGAGCTGTTTGCCCAGCACCATGTCCAGGTGGTTTTTGAGTATCTCCAAGGAGGGAGACTCCACAACCTCTCTGGGCAACCTGTGCCAGTGCTCCGCCACCCTCACAGTGAAAGAAGTGTTTCCTCATGTTCAGAGGGAACCTCCTGTGTTTCCGTTTGTGCCTATTGCCTCTTCTCCTGTCCCTGGGCACCACTGAAAAGAGCCTAGCTCCATTCTCTTTGCACCCTCCCTTCAGGTATCTATGTACATTGATTAGATCCCACCTGAGACTTCTCTAGGCTTAACAGCCTGAACTCTTTCAGCCTTTCCTCATATGAGAAGTGCTCCAGTCCCTTAATCAGCATTGTAGCCTTTTACTGGGCTCTCACCAGTATATCCCTGTCTCTCTCGACACAGCACTCACGATGTGGCCTCACCAGTGCTGAGTGGAGAGGAAGGATCATCTCCCTTGACCTGCTGGCAATACTTTGTCTAATGCAGCCCAGGATATCATTCACCTTCTTTGCAGCAAGGGCCCGTTGCTGGCTCATGGTCAACTTGCTGTCCAGCAGGACCCCCAGGTCCTTTTCTACCAAGCTGTTTTCCAGCCGGACAGCCCCCAGCATGTACTGGTGCACAGTGCAGGACTTTGCACTTCCCCTTGTTGAACTCCATGAAGTTCCTGTCAGCCCATTTCTCCAGCTTGTTGTGATCCCCCTGGACGGCAGCACAACTTCTGGTGTGTCAGTCCTCCCAGTTTTGTCATCATAGAAGCTTATCAAGTCAATCAAGCATGACTTACCCTTGGTGAGTCCATGCTGACTGGTACTGATGATTTTCTTATCCTTCATGTGCCTGGAAATGGTTTCCAGGATTAGTTGTTCCATCACCTTGCTAGGCATTAATGTGAGGCCGACCAGCCTGTAGTTCCCTGGGTCCTCCTTCATAGAATCATAGAATCATAGAATGATAGAATCATAGAATGCTTTGGGTTGGAAGGGACCTTTTGAGGTCATCTAGCCCAACCCCGCTGCAGTGAGCAGGGACAGCTTTAACTAGATCCAGTTGCTCAGAGCCCCATCCAACCTGACCTTGAATGTTGCCAGGGATGGGACCTCTACCACCTCTCTGGGCAACCTGTTCCAGTGCTTCACCACCCTCATTGTAAAAAATTTCTTTCTTATGTCTAGTCTAAATTTGTTCTTCTTTAGTTTAAATCCATTATTCATTGTCCTGTCACAAAGATTGCCTCCATCCTTCCTATAGGCCCCCTTTAAGTACTGAAAGGCTGCAGTAAGGTCTCCTCACAGCCTTCTCTTCTCCAGGCTGAACAACCCCAACTCTCTCAGCCTGGCCTCATAGGAGAGGTGCTCCGGCCCTCGGATCATTTTTGCGGCCCTCCTCTGGACCCGCTCCAGCAGTTCCATGTCCTTCTTGTGCAGCTTCTTCCTGCCCTTTTTGAAGATATGAGTGACATTCGCTTTCCTCCAGTCCTCAGGCACTTCTCCCAGTCACTGCCATGATCATTCAAAGACAATAGAGAATGGCTTTGCAATGACATCTGCCAGGTCCATGAGTATTCGTGGATGCATCCCATCAGGGCCCATGGACTTAATGTTTGTCCAGTTTGCTTATGTATTCTCTAACCTGATTTTCTCCCACCAAGGGTACATCTTCCTTGCTGCATACTTTTCCCCTAGCCGCAGGGGCTGGGATTCCTGAAGGCTGGTCTTGCTAGTAAAGACTGAAGTGAAGAAGGCATTTAGTACCTCAGCCTCTTCCATGGCCTGTGTCAGCAGGGCACCTGCTTCACTGGTCACAGTTCTCAATCCTCTTACATTTATTTAGATGACCTGATTTGTTCTCCCTATTGCTTGGAATTGCCATGCTTCTGGATACCATACCGTAAAACTTATTTCAGTGAGGGACAAGAAAAACACATTTTGAGGTTACCTCTTCCTTGGGAACATTATTGTCAGTGTAAAATTTTCTTCTTATATAGTTAAGAATTTGTATTCTGCTGTAATCTGGATTATACCGTAGGTAGATGAGCCTATTTTAAAGGTTTCTAAGAAGGAAAACAAGGAAGACTAGTTAATGTATTTACCATCTAAGGAAGGGATACTTAGATTATTTTTAATTTATGTGAGAAAATAAGCCAAATTCAGCATTTTTCTTAGATGCTATATAGTGGGTTTTAGTCTCCCGCCATGGAAGAGTTTGTGAATGTCTTACCACACTTCTTTTATATCATGCAGTGGCAGCTAGACCATCACCTTCTCTCCATTGTTCTTATAAGAAATGGAAAAGACAGTCTTGTCACAAAGTAGAAATACTGCATGTTTCATTGCAGTAAGGACTTTGAGAAATGAAAGGCAAGCTCCCACAGGCACATAATCAAAGAGCTGGTGACATGAAGTAGCACAGTGCTCCCCTGAAAGCAGCAGCTAATGTGTATACTGCCCAGAACTACCTCAGATTCCCCTTGCTCTCACATGTCAAAATGAGATTCTCCTGGAATTAATTCAGTGCTTTAGGCTTCAGAACAATGAAGCAGGTCTAGGGCAACAACACGACAGGGTACAAAGCCCCATGCTGATTCACTTGCACAACAATATGGGCTGCTGCTTAATGACAGGAGCTGGTGGAACAGTGGAAAAGGAAAAGACAATGGGAAGTTACATATGCTGTGAGAAGTTAGGAAGTTTCTGGGTTATATGTGAAAGGATTTGGAAAACTTACACTAGCTATACTGTAGGCAGCCTATATTACCATGCAACTCAGATTGGGGAGGAGGACAGAAGTTAATTCAAACGTGTACTGATACAAATGCGAACAGATAAATTAACATCCTTTATTGTGTTTTCAGCCACAGAGCTCCAGATTTAAGGTGGCAGAAAGGCCAGAAAGTATTAGAGTACATGGCCATTATGGTCATTACTATGATAAGCTTGACAACTTGCAGAGGAAAGCTAATGCACATTATGACCTTTCTCATATCAGCCAAAGAGTTGAGGAATACTATAAATCAAAAGGACAAGTTGCACCTCCACCCCCACCACCCGACTGGTAAACTTTTCTCACTCTATTTATTAGTAGTGAAATATCATGCATGTTTTGAGTTATCAGCCTTCCTGATTAGGTAACACTGGACATGGCTTATTCAGTCTAATTCCTTCTCTGCTTGGTCTTGATACATTTTTTTACATAAGTTTATTGCACAGCAACATAATTCCTGTTCCTGTCTATCCAGAAGTTCCTTCTGAATGTATTGTCCTGATGTTTGACATTTCGTTGTCTCAGCATTTTATTGGGTAAGAACTAAAACACAGGCTTTCTGTAGACTTTCTGATTATATCAAGGATAAACACTGTCTTCACTTCCCACCAGGATCAGAACAATATAAAGACCAAAAGTAGTTCTCCACTTGAGGGAACAGAGTGGGAGGCAGGCCATGAAAATGTTTTTTTCTCCTGCAGAGCTTATATTTTGGTTTCAGATGTAAAGACCCTTTCTTCAGCAGTTTGTTTACTTCAAAGCCTTTCTCTTACAAAGTAGAGGTACAACCTTTTTATTACTTTAGAGATTGCCTGTCCATTCCATGACTGGCCATTTTAGGTGTGGATGAGCTTTGAAAACCTTGAGAAAGGAAGGTAAGGATTTTTTAATACTGCCTACTTTTAGATCCTTCCTTTAAGGTTGACTGAACCATTAATTTTCATTCAATGACGACAGTGTTTAGAATGTTTCAGTTAAGGATCACCAGCTTTAGAACATCTTGTCTGAGCTGAGTTTCTAGTGTCTTATTTAAGGACAAAGCCAATTCAGTTTGGCTCCCTGGGGCACAAGTGGATTCTGAAGGTAGGAGATGAAAGAAATCAGGGAGCTTACAAGTGACTGCTGGTTATTTTATACAAAAAAAAAGAGGTAAATGTTTAGAAACCATAAAACTACATAAATACAAAGTTGGCTGATAGAATTAGGCACAGAGGAGAAAGGAAATAGAAAGTTGTGGAATATACAACCTCCATTCTGACAATTTTCCCTCACTTTGAGGATTGGGAAAAACAATTTTATTTTCATTAACACTTTCACATACCATTGATCAAATAAAAGGTAAAGGACTTGCTGCACTGTTCATAAGGCTAATGTAACTGAGGTAATAGGAAAGGGAATGCCCAAAGTGGATATGTTTTCTTTTTGTTATTTTACTGTTGTTCCATATTTATACCTATTTTATCCATATTTATATATTCATGTAGTACAAAGAGAGCTCTGTTTGTCATATGTGATAGAACCTATAGACAACTATTTGTGCAGAAGATAGCAGAGTCTGTGAAATAAAATGTAGTATATGAACACCACTTTCTTCTCTCAGGCCTGCAGAATATCTTCAAAGGCGTTTTGAAGCCCAACAGTACAAGATTAAAGTGGAAAAACAGCTGGTAAGTAAATACTGAATCACAGAATAAAATCTGTAAAAGAAACTGAATTAAAATCCAAAAGATGAACTGATGTCTTTCTAACAGTAAGTTAGAAAGCTGTCACACTGACAGGTCGAAAGTTCTGCTCTAGCAAATTCATTGATCTGCTCTGCAATGCTCATCTTGAGGTTTTATTTTCTGATACAAAACTGTAGCAATGTAAAATTCTACTATAACGTTTTCCTCCAAAAATATACCCTTGCCTTACTGCACTCTTCAGTGGAACAGGGAGAGTGAATTGAATGAGCACTGAAGGAAAGGATTCTAAACAAAAATTCCTTTGCTCTGGGATTTTTTTGTACATCCATAGGGACTGCGACCATCCTCTGCTGACCTATATCATGACCAGATACAGAAGCAGAAAATAAAGGAAGAGCATCTCAAAAACCATCAGCAGTACGTGTCTAGAAAGAATGAAATGAAAGAACAGGTAAATGAAATTTCTTCCTTAGCTGCTTAAAGCTGTCTTCTTACACTCCTTGACAGTAGTATTCTTTACATAAGAATTGATTCTTTTCCATCTGATCACTGGGAAAACATAAGCTGTTTTCATCTGGTTCCATCTTACATAAACTGGTGAAGACTTGCACAAAAGCTGATGTCCATAATAATTTCATAAACCGTGGCCTTGATTTTGATTTCACTTCTACTGAGATTAGAGGAGTTACACCACTGAACAAACTAATGTTGGAGGATGACAGATCCTCACATTTACAAATCAGAGAAGATAGTCATACATGCATTATTCATGTATGTGTATTCATTGTTCATAAGTTATACTATGACACTTAGAATGTGATATAGTAGTACGTGAAGCATACTACTTCCCTGCTATGTTATAACTTTTGGAGATTATTTTATACAGAAACAATATACTTCTCTGGTTTTGCTTTTGAGTGACAGAGAAAACAAACTGATACTTCTTTCTTACATGAACACGTGTAAATACATTTAATCTTTCTATTTTTGATTTATAAAAAAATGCCAGAATAAATATGAATATATTAACTTTTACATAATGGTCAAACTTCGGAGTAAAAACATACTCATCACGTACACATTCTTCAGAGACTGTTGCTGCTTAGTTCCACAAAGTCTGTACTAAATACACCAAAAAAAGAAATTTTACAGATTTGTCCATTTGTCTATTGGGATAGACTCTCATATAAACAGTAACAGAGATGTCCTTAACACAAAAATTATCTTTTGGCCAAATTTGAAGTTTTTGCTTCAAAGCATAGGAATGTTGAAGCTTCTCCAAGGAAAGATTACCATTTTTTTTTTCATTTTGGGGACCAGGTTGCAATACAATAAATAATATGTAAATTTTTGTCCTCCTAATTTGCAGTCCTCTATTTTTGGATTGCAGCCTTAGAGTCATTACTCAATCTGTACGTTATTCTTGGAATTAGCTGTTTTAGATATAATTCTACAGAAAATCTAGCCTGAAACAGTCTAGAAAACTTAAAAAACATTGAAGTCTGGAAGAGTTGTAACTCCAAAATATCCTGTAATAGGAAGTATCAAGCAATCTTTAAAATTGGCAGTAAAGGACACTGAACCCTTTTTCTTGTATATACACAGTTTGATATCCATAGAATATTTTGTTTAGCTAGTGTTATTTCTGTATGTATTTCTTATACATATGTATTCTAACTTACTGTTCTTTAATAGGAGTACTTGAAACAATTGCAGAAAATTCGGGAAGAATACCACAGTGATATAAAAGAATTCAGATTCAGAGTGGGAGTACTCCAGGTAACAAAGCTCAAACATACACATAGTCGTATTTCCTTTTTCTTTTTTAAGCTAGTACACTTAATTAGAGATTGAAATGAACATTTTATAAAAATGTTCCCTAGGAGAATAAAAAATTACAAGATAAAACCTATCTTGTGAGGCAAGGGAAAGCTGAGGATCAGTCTGAAACCAAGGATACAGCTGGAACAGGAGAAGAATCGCTTCAGGTATCAGTACCATCGTCTAGTCTAAACAGAACTTTTTGTGCAAGTCCCGCATGGTTCTTGATTCATTCTCTGTGACAAATCTGAAGAAAGGTAAAGCTTAAATCTCACCTGATAACTTGCACTGTATGTGAAAGTCTCCTTAGGTTTCCTTCATGAATAGCCTGGAAAGTTTCTTTGGCTGAGTTGTTTCGGTAATTCTTTTTCATCTGTAAATATTAGGATGTACTTTTACTTAATTTCTTTTTGTGGTATGTTTCTTTTCCTTGCTTTCTGAGTGAAGAAGCCACTCACAGTGCAAATCTTTGTGAGAATTCTGTGCAGAAGATACAGCAATTCAAGAGACCCCAGAGTAGCATTGTGTGGGAAGTGAGAATCCAGTTTCATGTGGACTCCTTACTTAAACAAAAATTTGGAAGAAGTGGGAGGAAGAGGCAGAGCCAAAGCTTTCCACCTACAGGACTCCTTCACTTCCTTCTCATCAAATACTACCAAAGCAGCTACTGGAATGGAGTTTCAGAATTGTTCCACTTCTACTTTGCAATATTGGCATTATGAACATTAGATGAGGTTTCCAGACCACATGGAGTTCTGCAGCAACAAGTTCACTTTTCCTCAAGTGAAATGAATGAAAACCTCAATTTACGAAAATTAATTTCAGTGTGCAAATTCTCAGTCTGTTCTGAAGGGAAAACAGGCCTGATCTAGCTACTAGGATTCTTCAGTCAAGATTTGCCTCTTGTGGTGTAGGGCTTCCTGCGCTTGTTCAGTAGCAAGGGACAGACTTCCACATAAACCAGCGACAGACATTGCTGCCCTGTTGCAGCTGGAACTTGGGCCAAACCTGCCAATATTAGTAGGATTCTTTTCAATGATTTTCATTGATCATCCTGGATCTGGCTTTTACTAAAACAAATTCATAGATCACTTGGTAGGATAAAGTAGGTTGTAGGCAGCCAGAGCCACGATAGGACAGAAATTCTATTCCCAGTGATTTAATGGGAAATACATGATAACAAAAAAGAAACACTAGATTTTGCACCTGCTTGGTGTCACCTTAGTTCATGGGTACTCCATCTACTGGAGAAACTGCATAGATATTTAAAAAAAAGTAAGATCTGAACTGTTGTGGTTTCACCTGAGGTTGAGGATGTGCCCTGATTGCAGCAGATCACTGAAGGAGCTGCATACAGTTATTTACTTTGCTTTTATGTGGCAGGTTCTAACATAGGACATCGGAATATGAAAAAGGGTAATTAAATAATTTTTAGGTGTTACCTAAAACAAGCAAACAAGATACTATGATACATGGCTGTACCTTCTACAGGCATAGGTTTCCATTATAATCTTGATTTTCATCACTTCCAAAATTTTCCAGAATGAAATCAGCCTGAGTCATCTTGCATATGATCATAAAAAAAAAAAGTATGATTTATTTCTTGACACAGTACTGTATCCTCCAAACATAGGTTTTTGAAAAATCAGAGGTTTGCACTTTACGCAAGGTTTCCTATTTTTCTTTTTGCCAGATAAGTCAGAATTATAATGTCAAAGTCTAAATAAGGCAACGAATGGAATATCCTTACAGATATACATACAAGGAAATCAGTGACTGTGTTTACTACTTAAACGAGTCTTTTTTTACAGGGTATACAAATATTCTGGTTCCAAAGTTGGCAGGTTTTTTTTTTTCTCCTTCCAGGACATGGAAGAAAACTTTAAACAAGTCAGACTCCAGGACAAGCAAGATCAAAAAATCTTAGAAAAGAAACATAACACAAAGGTATCCATCCTTATTGTTGTATTTTTTTCCATTTTCTTCCTACACCTGTACATTTCAAATGATTGTGTTACCACAGTAGCTCTAGAAACCAAGTTATTTGAGAGTCAATTAAGAGTGTTGACTGTTTGTTAAAAGTTTATGAGAAGAGGGAATCACTAAGAAAATAAATGTATCATCATGTATCGTTTGAGGGAGTCTCCCTTTAGATATTCCCAGACAGTAATCAATCCCTACCTACTCATCTTTATATCAAATTGCATTAGTAGTGTATGTTTATTAGTAGTCATGTTTACTCAAAGTTTAAGTGAAGTCAAGCCAGGCTGCTAATTTCTTATCATTTTGTTATAAAACATTATTATCTATAGTGCTTTTTAAATTGTAGAAGGGGATAGAAATTGAACAGAAATGCACATAAGGTATCATGAAGGTTTCTGACCATAAGATCATTGTGAAGTGTACTAAAGGTCTTTTGTGAAATACTGCACAGAAGCAGTACAGTATTCAAATTTTAATACCACTTGAGAACGAGCTGTAAGAACCAGCTCTGTATTGCAATGATTTGAATTAAATGATTATCAAAGACACCTCTCCTTAAAATCAAAAGAGGATACAATCATTTGAAAATATCCATAAACTATACTTAGAGAAGTCTATTTTTGTCCAATTTGTTCAACTTTGATCTCATTAAATAGAGTAAAAATATTGTTAAATAAGAGTTATTTTCAATAGAAGAATAATTTTGAAGTTTGTACTTCATATAAACTGTGTACATTTAATTAAATGGTTTTGTTTAATAAAATAATGAAGTGTGTGAATTTTCTTTAGGGAGGAGTAAAGTTTGAAATTAATTTAGATGTATGTGTTCCTGAGGAAGTCAGCATTCAAGAAGCAGAGGTACGTTGTAGTTATATTCAAAGCATTTACATTAGTAATCTGAAACCATGACGGTAGCTCCATGATCTAAGGTTTCATTGTTTCCACTACCATCATGCTCTACCTTTGTTGTAATGAAGCTTCCTATTGAGGATTTGTTGACATATTGCATATATCTGACCTTCAAGAGGATAATTGCGTAGAAGAAAATTGGATGATATCTGGGTCAATCTTTCACATGGTAAAAGATGAAGGAGTGCAGATATTTAAATTTTGTAAAGTGGGCTGAGGGGAAGAACTCATCTCAAAATTGAGTTAGTCTGCAAATGCCGAATTTGATTTGTAAATTGTTTTACTACATTTCTGTTTCTTTTCACTAGTGTTGTATCTCAAAGCAACAATACTGTTGTGATGAACCAGCTGTTATTTAGAAAAAGTGGAAGTGAGACTACAGACAACATTATGTGATTTCATTTATTAAAATGACATTTCTAGAGGATTGACATGTAATAGCTACCTATTAAGATTTTTATGAGTATGTTAGAATTTTTAAAGTATTTGTAACAACAACACTGAAAATATAGTATCTTTCTAGTGTATATATTCTTAATTTATAAAGCACTATTTTGTCATTCTGTTGTTTCACGTCTCTGCAGAGCCCCATGAAGCCCTCTGATACACAAATCACAGTGAGAATTTTGAGTTCTGCTGCTTCACTTTTTGTTACAAAATTTGCCCGTATATACCTGAGAATGGCTGGCAAACGCAGTAAAATGAGAAGTAATTAGTTATTGTCCCATATTTATTTTCTCTTTCTAGAGTAACCTATTGTTTTTTCAGGTACTAGATAAACTCAATGAGACTTTAACTTTTGTGGATGGTGAGAATCTTAAGGAGAAATTGGTGGAAGTTTATGAAGATCATATGGACAAAGCTTTGGAAGAACTATCTGGATACCAAACAGGTATTTTTGGGGGAAGTGCAATGCTGAATGTTAATCCGGAAAATTACTGAAGAGTTAGGTAAATTCAGTAACTCCAGGCTATAGCATGTTTATCTGATGAGCTCTCTCTTTATATCACATAATATTATAATCACACTGAAATCTACTTTAAAAAAATGAAATAACTTTGCCTCCTCTTTTTCTTCCCCTTAGAGTCCAATGATATTGGTGATACTAAAGAAAACAGAAAACACTGGCAAGCTGGAGCCCCTCAGACACTGCTGAGTTTTTTAGCTGATGCTGATGTCACTTCTGTATGTCCTACCATGGCTGAAAATGAACTTGGTAAGAAAGTTTTGGGTTTTGGTGAGTGAAAGTAGAGAGCTGCTAAAATTCAGCCAGACTACTTACAGACCTTTGCCAAAACAATTCCATACCAGAGCGTTCACATGATATGGCAGGCTTTTAATTGCAGGACTTCATAATAATTGAGGTTATTGTATGTGTTGAATCATAGAATGCAGTCATCATTTTCCCCTCTGTCTAATATTGCAATCATGTTGTGCTGCTCATACATATTAAGAGGGCTGCATTTTATGAATCACTCCGTGGCCTAGATAACAAGGGCTAAAAATGCCAGTCTGTGCAACTCATCCACACCACTTTCTTGGGCCCCAAGTTGATGAAACACAAGAACTGAGGCAGTCAGTTGCCAACACCATCCCAGAATGTGGTGGAGTTCTGGTTTCCCACTCCACACACCAGTGTAGCTACACAGTCACAAGCGCATCCTCACACAGGTGTGGCTGTGGCGATGCTCCTTTTCAGAAGCAGCTAATCGCTGTTTCCCACAGTACCAGTGCATATGTTCCCAGGCAGCCAGGTATCTCCAGTGACTGCTTGCTGCAAACGAGGGGCTCTTCCAGCATTCCAGCATGCTTCCAGCACCCTAGATACACAGAAACAACCTGAAGAGTTTGCATGGACAGTGAAGACAAAGCAGAATATTGTTAATATGCCACTTCTTGTTCATTCTGCCTTAGATGAAAGAGCATAGGGCACAAGAGAAACAGGAACTCCTTTGAAGCTTTTTCAGCCCCCAAGAAGCCAACGAGCTTGAGACCAAGGACTGCTCAATGAAGCTGCACTTGCCTGTTCTGGGCCTAATAAGCAGTTACTTGAGCTTTTACTTTATTAAAACTGGTGTTAACAATTTTTAGTGACAAATAGCCCAAACTATTTTTTTTTGTCTATGGTATCAATCAGACCAAATACTTATTAAAAATTCAGTATTCCACAAGGGAAAAAAACCACCAAACAGGATTCCAGCATTACACAAAACGAAGAAATAAGTGTCAAGACTAGAAAGTCTGAATCTGACAAGACAGTGCCAAGCCACAGTCATGCTTTTGTGACCTGAGAACCTTCCTGTTCTTCAGCTGACCATGCTATTCTGCCTGAAGACATCCCAGAAAACAGGAAGCAGTGGAAACAAACACCACCAGGGACACTCCTGGACATCTTAGCAAAAGCAGAGCTGTCTAAGGACTCCTTCATCCGGCTTGAAGGGGAAATAGGTAGGATGTTTGTTACTCTAAATTCTACAAGTTTTTCTTTAGTGTATTATTTCTTCTACTATTGGCAGAGGATCTGTGATGGGAACTGGCATTTTGAAGCAGTTGGCAAACTAGAAAAACACGGGCAGCCTGTCCCAGCAGCCACTGCTCTCTGTCCTGTAGCAGTGAAAGGCCTCTCAGGACGTTGCTGTTTTCTATAGCAGGGAAAAGGGCAAGCCCTACTTACCGACTATTACTTCATATATAATTCTTTCATTTCTTGGGTAGACAGAGGTAAGCTACTGCTGCCAGCAAGTTGGTAGATACCACAAATGTGGATCTAGCCCCTGCAATTGTTGAAGAACCCTGTAAAAAACATTTATACAAATACATGTATGTCTGAGGAACAGCTGTAAACTGTAGTACATGGTGGCTTAAACTACAGTGGTGACTTACTTTACAACATAGTCCATGCTGATACAGCTGACACTGCAACTGATTCAAACTCACTTATACTGCAGCACACTTTCCTCAAGTACAGACTGGTTTAAAAATTACATTTACTTTGCATCAAAGTTGTTAGCAAAAAAGCCAAGTATTTTCCATAGAAAGAGGCAGTAAATGTAACTGGACATTGTGTTTTTATGCACAATTGACAATCTACTGAATGTATAATTGGATGACAGGACTTTTAAGTCAGCTAAATTGTACATGCCAAGTTTCAGTATTTGTAATGGATTGTGAGAAATATCTTTCATTTGCAACTGTGCAGTCAGCACTCTCCTGCTAATTATGCCTCACATACAGGTTTTCTCATAGTATTACAAGCTCTTTTAAAACTGCCCCATCCTGAAGGCTAAGCCAGCTAACGGTACTAGCTAAATTCCTAGAACGAGCTTTATAGCTTGCACATCTTAAAAAAAATCAAACCAAAGCAAGAACAAGGTCACACAGGTATTCTAACTGCTGCTGGCTTTATCATTTACATTTAATAAAATATGGCACTCTCTCTATACCCAGTTCTGCCCTGCTACTCAAGCTGACATTGTGGAGCACAGTGTTACCCAAACTGACAGATTTCTTTTGGATCACATGCAGAATTTAGTCTTTATACTAAAACAACTCTTAGCATTGTTCTCCTACCTTCAGGTTAGGGTTGCCTTTCAGTCTTGAAAGCGTGCATTTTTAGGGAACTGTAGCTACATCCAAGCAGCAATTTTCAGTCTTTCCCAAACAATATTCCCCTAAGTTTTCCACTGAAAATGCAGATCCCTGTATTGGGAACATAAACCTACTAACAACAGATCGCCTTTCTTTCTTGACTTTTATAGTCTTTTGGTTATGGTCTACAAAGACACTAGGTTCCGCTGAGCGGAAGTTACAAACCACTGACTAGAGGCATGGTATTTACATTGTTGTAAATTGAACAACAACAAAAAAAATTCAAGCATTTACTTAGTTGCTATTACTTTACATACACTTTTACAGTTAGCTGTATATATATACAAATAGCTATATACAAATAAAGGAATGTTTCTCTTCCTTTCCAGAAGGAAGATTAACTATGTTGCTTCCAAAAGAAAACAAGGCAGATGAGTCAGAAACATACTCTGCTGTTGCTGTTGATGAAGGCAGACTTGAGCCAAGATCAGATGATGACGACACGTAAGTCAAGCACATCAGAAGAACAATCCATACAATTGAAGCTTTCATGAAATGACAGGTTGCGTTGCCTAAACCTTTTCTTCTGTTATTTTAAATTCATAAATGAAGAAAACTTGTTTTACAGAGTCTGCTAATTTAACTTTTAATTCTGTAATTTGTCACATGCCAACACTGCCATTAAAAATGTTATGCAGAAGTATTAACATGGCTTTGCCACTCCTGTTCTCTTACCTTATAAATACAGGTGAACAATCTCACGGAGAAAGAAGAAACAGCTCACATCATGTGTGTAGCTTGTGTATTCTTTCTAATTAGTTTTAAAAAAAATCTCAAAGGCCTTGAAAGGAGAAAGGCTTGTAACAAAAATACATTTAATTAATATAGTTATCTTGTTTTACTTCACAGAAATTTTGAAGATTCTGAAGATGAACTGAGACACGAGCTGGAGGAATCTCTGGAAAAAGTGGCAACTTCTCCAGCAGAAAGCACCATAGAGTCTCCCACCCTTTCAATAAATAAAGGTCAAACAGATGAAGAAAAGATGAGTTTACCTCACAAACTACTTGGAAAATCTGATGACGATTTAGAAATTAGCCATGGTTCGTTTAGTGGTGACACACATAATGAAAAAGGCAAGCAGGAAGCAAGAGCTACCTAGAACACGAGCATAGTTACTGTCTTAAAACTTCAACTTGCTTGAAATTTCAGCCACATCAGTAACAAAATTTAAGGATAGCTGACATTAAATGCCAAGTAAATCAACTGCTTTTAAACAGTGCTAAACACTCAGTTAAAATTAATAGAAGATTGTTGCTATTTTGTTTGAAAGGAAAATAAAATCAGGCTACTTTTCAGATGTCTAAACATTGAAAAATTCTGATCCAGACTGAAATGCACTTTCATCTTTATTATTCTAAACTACCTGGGACATCTCTGACAACACTTGCTTGAGCAAATTTCTCTTTAACCATTTCTGTATCATGTCAGAAAATCTCATGGTCAGTGTATTTTATTTCCCTAGCTCAATCAACTCCTTGTTTTAAGAAGCTCTTCCAGCTTTTCATAATCCCTGTGTACTGCCAATACAGCTTTACAATCCATAGTTTCATTTACACAGCACTGACCCTACACAGCATCACCAACTGCTCAGCAGTTTATTTATATAGTAGCAGTAAAAGGGTTTATTAGCACCATGAGAACTGTGCATTCTCCACTTCCTAATAAAACATGGAACAGTAGCTTCTTCCAACCGTATTTCTTCATGTACAGAATTTCAAATAATCCAGGTGAAGCTTAATTAGAGGGAAAACCACATTATGAAATCTGGTTTCAGTAGCTTTTTGCACTTTTCTCAGTTTGCTAAAATATAAACCACTGCTTTGATGGCTCAAAAAAAGGACTATGTTTTTCCATTTTTGATACAAAAACAGATGTCCAATTTTTGAACATTTTGTTCACTGTTTTCTCAGTTTTATAATAAGCAGTAGTTTAGGGCTTTAACATTCACATTGTATAGCATTTAATTATGCCCTCTAATCTAGACCCTTCTATTCCCTAGGAACAGAAAACTTTTCAATAAAATAGGGTTGGAAAAATACCATTAAGTTGTCATACTGTGAAAGGGCATGAGGAAATAGCTAATATAAGGATCACAGACAAGTGCAATTATTGCACTTATTAAAAAGCAAGCTAACAAAACTACCATATGATTAACCTAAAGTAATCACTGTAGCTCATGAAATCTCCAAAACCACAGTTAAAATTCCATATAATAGAATTTTGCCACACAATGGGGGACAGCAAATTGAAAATGTGCTACAGATTCTGGACAAAAAATCTTCTGGGTACAAAAGCTATCAAACAAAAGCGTTGAATTTGAAAAGTGTGACTGTGGGTGAAGAGTCATGAAATGGGTGGAGACTGAAAGTAAAGTATTCAATAAATGAAAGAACTTCCAGATGTAGTTCTGTTACCAAGGAATTATGATGGTTCTGTGAATCCAGAAGGCTTTGCAGTGCACCGTACCATCATGTAGTCAACACAGAAAATTTTCAGAAGCATTTCTTTCCACATAAAATAATCTATTACATAAAGCAGATACCCTGACAGAAAGAAAAAAAAAATCTCTTTATTGAAGGGGACCAAGGGCTCATAGATTACATGTATTTACAGGTGACACAGTCAAATATAAAAAGTTAATTTTATTCATATACATTTTTATTAATATACATTTATTTAAATAATGGCTCCACAGATAACAGGAACGTCTCTTCAAAATGCTGGTCAGAAAACCTGTGCACAGACTGACGAGCGTTTTCTCTGATCTCTAACCTTTTTTCAGGGGACAAAGACAGGATATAAGCCATCGTCTCAGCATAACTGTCCTCGTTTTCTGCTAGGAAGCCTGTAATATGTCCTTCATAGGGTACCACAATATCTAATTTGGGGCCTCCGGAATTGTGAGCCAGGATAACTGTGCCAGCTGCCATACATTCAACTACTCCTGTAAAAGATACAAAACATGCTGATATCAATGTGCACATCACGTACTTTGTCTTTCTATAAGGCACTGGAAAGTTAAAACCACAGTAAAATTCACCCAGAATTGCAAGTTACTATAGATTGCCATTCTAGATCAGTTTGAAAAATACAGAGTAAATGGTCTCATAAGAAAAACAAATTTAAGTTTTTCAGCCCTAAGGACTAAAATTATAGTTTCTCTTAAACACATAGAATTGAAATTAGAAATCAGACATAACTGATTAAGTTGTGGTTCTTCTAACATACTTGATTTACCTGAGAGAGATTGTATCACCAGTATATGCAGTGAAAAAAAAAAGCTAGATATTGAAACAAATGTAAAGATAAACATGGAAAGTAGCTCTGTGGCAGAACACTGCATAGTTCAGTTCTGCTCTGTAACAGAACACTGCAACACTGGTTTTATGGTATGGTGGCAACTGCAGAAAATAATTAAAAATTAGAGCTGAATGTAACTGTATTAATTTTCTCATTCACACAAGATTTTTAACATTTAGAAAGATACTCTGAGAGAAAAGCTGACTATGCACATTTCAATCTGATGATATTCAGAGGTTCAGTATTTTGCAGATTAACAAATCTTTATAGCTTTTGACAACTCAGCAAGACAAACTAGAAAATTGTTATTGCTCCATCTGTATTTCTGACACAAGAAATTTTAATGAAATGGGAATCTGATAGTAAGCTTTCCTCAGCCAAAAGCAGTGGGATAGGAATAGCACAGAATGTACACGTCAGCTTCAACTCTCCTCCATGGTTCTAGAAGAGACCTCAGAAATCACTTTAATTGCTGATTCTTCTCAGTTCTGATTTGATTTTTAAAAAGTTCCCCTAGCTCACAACCTGCCAACTATAAATAATGCTCCAAAGTTTTGGAACATGTTTTTTACAGGTAAAAAAAACATTGGAGAGGAAGGTGAAATCATGCTTAAATTCAAAATCACACTGTGATTGTATCACTTTTTTACAGTAATTTTTTATTTACTTAATTAAACTGTTCTATGAGGGAAAAAATAGAAGAAACCATTATTTCCATTTTGCGGCAATTGCTTCTGGGAGACACCAGAGTAAATTTTTTATACCAGGTTGCTACAGACTGTAAACTACTACTCCTACTTGTACTCTAATGAAGTCTGATGTCATTAACTGCAGTTCAGTCACATTATAGCCAAGTATGGCATCTATCCGCTTGGCTGCTAATTTGCTCTGCTGTAGATTTATGGCAGATGTGCAATCTTAGATTCCCTTTCAAAGTCAGGACTCAACTAATCCCAATAAACTGAGCCCGATACCTCAATTCTGTATGCTAGCACACTGCAAACCAGGTCCCAGCTCCTCTTTGGTATTCTGCTCCACGCTGTGGTGACTGACTTAAGGACTTGATTTAATTGCCTTAGCACAGGTGCCTAGTGCAATGAGATGACCAAGGGTTACCTGGTGGCATCCGCACGGGGCTTCCAAATAAGACACAGGATCTGCAGGAGACTCACACCTCTGAAACAGCAGCTAGAGCCCCATGACGTATGCTAGATATTTCAAACGGCAGCTGAGGCAGGTTAAACATGCTCAAAACCTCTACACATGCGTGTCTGCGCATGAACTGTGTCCAAGCTCCCCCTGCAGTCAGTGGAGCCAATAGGGCACAACCTAAGGTGCTTCAACAGAAGCACCTGGTGCCTTTTGAGGCTCCGTTAGGTATGGGAGGCATCTGTCTGAGGCTGGCAAACCTAACACAGGACCCTCGGGTGACCCACAACCTCGCAGAGCAACAGCCAGAGGTCAGGCAGAACATTTTGGGCAGCACAGATGGCACTAGCTGCCTCTTCGGGTGACTGCAGCACGCCCATAACTGATAGTCTACGATGTCTACAGCCCTTCAGCTTGCACTACAGTAGCACCTAGAGGTTAGTCACCTGAATTGGTCCCATAGGCTCTACCTCAGCTAGATCACCTCTGACGAGAACAGGAGTTGGACACCTGCTTGGCATGCAGACCTCTCTGCTCAGACACCTACACTGAGGAGCCTTAGTCATGAACTGAAGCCCTCCCCAATGGTGTCCCAGCTGCGACAAATGGCTGAGGGGAGACCTTATCGCTCTCTACAACTACCTGAAAGGAGGTTGTAGTGAGGTGGGTGTTGATCTCTTCTCCCAAGTAGTTAGTGATAGGACGAGAGGAAATGGTCTTAAGCTGCACCAGGGGAGGCTTAGGCTGGAAATTAGGAAAAATTTCTTTACGGAAAGGGTGGTCAAGAATTGGAACAGGCTGCCCAGAGAGGTGGTGGAGTCACCATCCCTGGAAGTGTTCAAAAAACGGGTAGATGTGGCACTTTGGGACATGGTTTAGTCTAGTCTACCCTTGATTGGCTTAGAGTAGACTTGGTAGTGTAGGTTAATGGTTGGACTGGATGACCTTAAAGGTCTTTTCCAACCTAAACGATTCTATGATTCTATGAAATGGCTGAACACCGAGGAAAGATACTGACCGATCCCGAAGTGCTCATTCCACATTGTATGCAGGCCGATGGTGGCCTCGGCCAGGTGTCTCTTTAGCTCCTCAAAGGGAATGTTTATTCTGAACTTCACATCGTTACTAACGCCCAGGTCTTCACAAAGATGTTTAAGGTTATTTACACGTTCTTCATCTTGCCCGTTACGACAGCCTCCAATTAAGATAAGCTTCAACGATGGCTGCTGCCCTAGTCTCTTCTCTTTCAGTAATTTAGCAAAGGCTCTGATTTGCAAAGGATGATCTTTTTCAGGCCTGAACTGGCTGACGGAAACAATGGAATATTCAGCAGTGCTCTTTTCCTCTTCCAGTGGAATATCCAGGAAGGTCTGAACATCACACGGTGGATACACAACGCTAGTGCAAGCCCCAGCTCTCCAGAGAGAAAGGATGTGATTTAGCGTCCAAGAAGAATTAACCATAATCACATCACTGCAGGAACCAACCAGTCCGTACATGAAAGCAAAGAAGTAGTAGTAGACAAGTTTACATTTGCTGAAAAGAGGATTGTTTGTAATGAAGGCTGCATTGTTAAACCTGGTATCCTGATTCCTAACAACAGAAAGCATATCGGTGCTGATAGTGGGATAATGGACATAGCATCCAACG